ACACACACAAACACGTATGTCTTTCACCACTGCCAAGATAAAATTATTAAATCTTCAATTTTTCTATAATACGAAACGAATAAATGCAATCCGCCATTTTTTTTTTCTCTTTTCCTATGTAACTCTTCTTATTTTTTTTCATTCTCCGCGGGACTTCTTTCGTGAAATGGACTCTATTTATGAATTGTACCAGACTAAGGAAAAAACGTCAATAGTGTCAATGTCAATTCAAGTCAATAAGTCATTCAAGTCAATTGTCAATCAAACTAAATGTTAAAATGTTGAATGCTAAAGTTTGCTTTGCTTTACAAATTATTTACCAAAAAACATCTCCGTAAACTTAATTTCAAAACAAGAAAGAACCTACAACTAGATACCTACCGATAACACTTATAAATGAGATTTGTAGGTTTAATTTTGGAACTGAAGCATAAAAACATTTTTGGAGACATATATCTATACTCGGAATTTTAATTCGATTCCAGATTTGACAATTTCAGTGTTGCAACGTTATGACAAGTACTAAATAGTGACGTTGCGAAATTATTCGATATGGAAATGCAATATTTCTGGATCGATTCTTCAAGTTTATAATTTTACTCTCGTAAGTATTTTTGGAAATTAAATATTTCTGAACCGATAAATTAGTTTTGACGATTAATTAACGATCTGAGACTTTTCTTTTATAATTGTGTGTGAAATAAATAAAAAAATGCAATCATGAAGGAACATGACAAATAAAACAGATAGATGTATTATGGTAATAAGTTATTTTGTAAATTGTCGTCATCGCTATCGCTATCCTGTCACTTTCTGTAACATTTATTATAACACACACACTGATTGTTTATCAATTTTTGTGTTCATCACTACACTATTTTATGTGGTATCATTATTTCACAAAATGACAGTAGCTATTGTCAAATCTGGAATCTAATTAAAATTCTGACTATACTTCGAAAATTAGACTCCAACTCAATTTTATTAGTGAGCTAAAGGATACATCGATTATCTAAGATGGTGTGTGATGGTCCAGATCCTCCAGAGAACAACCCTCACGAAATTGTTCCACCTCCTAGGAACGAATTGATAATGAATGGTAATCACGGGGATGATAGTGATGAAGAACATGAATATTTTGGCTATGAACCTTTGGCGCAAGGTCCTGAACTAGCAGTTTCAGATCATGATAGTGATGATGACTCAGAGGTACATTTTTATTAATTTTACTTTAAACATCACAACTATACTCGGAATTTTAATTCGATTCCAGATTTGACAATTTCAGTGTTGCAACGTTATGACAAGTACTAAATAGTGACGTTGCGAAATTATTCGATATGGAAATGCAATATTTCTGGATCGATTCTTTTCGTTTATTATTTATTCCCGTAAACTAAGTATATCAGGAAATTAAATATTTCTGAACCGATAATTTAGTTTTGACGATTTATTAACGATCTGAGACTTTTCTTTTATAATTCTGTGTGAAATAAATAAAAAAATGTAATCATGAAGGAACATGACAATAAAACAGATAGATGTATTATGGTAATAAGTTATTTTATAAATTGTCGCCGTCGCTATCCTGTCACTTTCTGTAACATTTATTTTAAAATACACACACTGATTGTTTTTCGATTTTTGTGTTCATCACTACACTATTTATATGTGGTATCATTATTTCACAAAATGACAGTAGGTATTGTCAAATCTGGAATCTAATTAAAATTCTGACTATATTTAATTATTATTGGCGACAATAATTAAATGCTCTATTTCACTTCCAATATCATTCATTAAACTGTCAAACACCAAGCGGTCACCGGTGACCGCAACCTATTGTTCTATAATTGTGTCTATAATGACGGTACTGGACGAGTTAAGGCCTAAACTTATCTACTATTGTATGTATTTTTTAATGTAGAGCGCTGAAACACCTCCAGCTGATGTTCCAAATATAGAACCAATGGAAAATGTTCTAAGCAGGGAAGTTTGGAGCGCCCCAAGAAATGCAGATGCTATACAAATGGATAACGAACGAGCTCAACAGGTGAAGTACATTTGTAGAAAATGTCATCTTAATAATTTTTTTATATAACTTATGTGTAAATATGATTATTAAATTTTTAGGTGATGAGAGCTATGGCAAACTTTGCCCTACCCCAGGCCTCAATTCCAGAATGGGCTCAAAGCATCTCTGAAGAACAATGGAAGCAAACTCTCAATGAACAAATAGAAAGATTGAAAAATAAAAGATAAAGAATTATGTGAAGTATAATTAAGATTCAAGTGATAAAGATAACAATTATAATTATTATGTTTAAAAAATGTATATAAACTATAGACTTTTAGGTTATTCAAATTACAATTAAATATAGGGAAAAGACATGTATTTGTTGTTTGGTTAAATAATCCAATATATTATGTAGATTAATTTGTAAATGTTTAATGTAATTATTCAGTTGGATCAAATATAACAGCACTGAAGGTCACTAGTTTAGTTCTTTCATTTCTAATGAAAATGTAAAATGGAGAATCTGCATAGAAACTTTCAGCTGACCGTGTTAATGTTCCACTTGTTGCCGCTACTGCTTCTGTCCCAAACTCTGAAACAATATATTTTAATTACATTTATGACCGTTATCACCCACTCTGCTAGGCTCCTATTGATCAATATTCTGTAATATATGTGCAGTAATACTAGTAGTGTAAATAACAATCAGGTTTGATGTCTTTCATGTTGTCAATCAAAGCTCAGTAATGAATCTAAACCGTATTTCCATGAGAAAAAATTTAAGAACATACCATTAATTGTTAACTTTACATCATGAATTATGGAATCTACATGTATTCCAGGATTAGGTAGACTGTCCAAAATGTTTGAATTTCCATTTTCTGTATATCTGTCTGTCTGTCCTTCAGTTTCATTCACAAACTCATTAGTTCCATTTACCATAAGCGCGAAGTTTGCTTTGCCTGGTACAAACATGCTTTGTATCCCTATAGATTGCAATGTGCTCTCTAGCTTTGTGGTACTTTTTATTTTCATCTTAGGGAAACGAATCACACAATTTTTCACATCCATTTCATTGATTGTATCATCAATAACTTTGTTGGTAATATTTGCCATGAGCTCCGATAATGTTAATCGTTTGTGAAATATTGGTTTTAAAGCATACATGAAAGTTTCACTGTCGTTATATGGCAATGCTATCATGTGGAAATCTGAAATAGAAAATAAATATTTTTCCTTATAGAGTAAATGTAACGCCACACACTAAGATTTTCTCCTGTATCATAAATTCATAAGTGCATTTACAAACAACAATACGAATTCGACATTACTTAATATGACATGATACCCACGCCTGCTAGGCTATTCTGTAAGATGTCATTTCGAACCCTCGAAGTGAGCTCCATCGCGGTCGGCCATTTCATTGGTTGTGAGAATAATCTCGACCAATGACGAGCGAGAATAACATACAACAATTTATGAATATTACACAAAGACTTGTTTTGCGCGGAATCGAACCCGCGCCGTGTTGCGGTCCTCACAGCCCAGCAACTGTGTCAACTTAGCAATCAAATTATTTACCTACCCACATAAGAAACTAAATTAAAATCGACATAATAATTATCAAAGGATTAATAGACTTACTAACCATGTTCCTCAGAAACTTTGTAACGGAACTCTCCGAAATTCAACATCATGTCAGCCATAACTTCATCGGTGGCCCTTTTGAATCCCATCCTATAATCATATTCGGAACATTGAAGTACCTACTTACACCTGTTTACAGTTTTGGTCCAAACATTCACAATAGGAAGTATATAATAGATAAGCTAATTTAAATTATTAGAAAGCTTACTTTCTTGTGAATTGCGGTGCAAACGGTTGTTTCCATCTACCACTAAAGTACAACGCAGTTAAAAGTACTACTTTAGTATGAGGAGGCAGAGAATCTTTCAAAAATTCATCTATGTTTCCTTCCGTGTGCTTACTCACCCACCTAAAAATTTAAAAAGATAGTGATTTGATCAGTGACTGCCTCGTTGGCCGAGTGGTCACAAGTGCGACTGCCGGGCAAGGGGTCCCGGGTCGGGCAAAGTATTACTGGGTTCTAAAAAAATCTCAGTATTAGCACGGAGCCTAGAAATGTGCCCGGTATATGGCAATAGGCTCACCCTCTATTACATGGGACTCATAGCATAAATAATAATGTATGTGATAGTGATTTCATGTATTACTTTCATTAAAATTAAATGAGTAACTGCTGACTTACCTAAACGTAAACACTGATGGTTTAATGATGGACGACAGCAAAAGACTGGGTTTAGGAAAAAATTAGGATATCTTACTTACTATCTTGGAAACTTAAAAAAAAATTAAATTTTGAAACTTACTCATTGATACTGTTCTTAGATTCTTCGGTTTCTTGGAAGTCAGTACGTAAAACATCGCCTCCGTATACACCATGCAGGTAACTTCTGTACAACTCTCGTAATTGCACGTGGTTGTCTACAAATATTGCGTCAGCGTACAAAGTTTTTGATAAATCGTTAATATTCAAACTCTGTAGTAGTCCGCCGAAATATTCGTGGTTTCTGCGGTTTAGTAGAATATCTGTAAAATATTAAGAACGACTCATTGTAAGTTTATAGTCTCATTACATGTTGCCCACTACTTCGTACGCGTATAGAATATCAATTTTAGAACTTTTTTTGTGTCTATTTTCCAATATAAATTTAGCCTATGTCCAAACTCCATTAGAAAGTTAGTGTCTGATTTGACAGCCTACATATTTATTCCATCCACAAGCATTCAAACAAACACATTATTGCAGAGTCTCTCCATCTCCTCCACCAGGGAGACGAGGTAGGTAAGTAGTGGCGGAATAATATATCCATTCATTCTTTATACATACTATTTGATCGCGACAGCTTCCTTGTATAATGGTGCGTCCAAATGCTGCTCGCGCGCATCTTGCGTTTGTCAGATATGGAAGCACCATAAGATAATAATCGTACGTAAAGATATTAGGTTATATACTAATGTCTATCTTTAGAAAAATCGGGTGCGTTTACAAATGTCCTACAAATTCACATACACATGACACCCAGATTCGAAACAACAATTTGTGGATTACACGACACTTAAATGTCGTTCCGTGCGGGAAATCGAACCCGTGACACAATGCACAGCAGTGGGTTGCCCACCCACGGCACCGACCGTTAGGTAAGTATTGATGTTTATCCTAAAAAACATTTGTGTAACCAAACACGACAAATTTCACACCTCCATTAGTAAAGAAAAAGATATAACGCAAGCCTTTACACAACGACTTTGTGATAATTTGTACCTTGGGAAAATCCGATGGTCTCTGCGATTTCATCATGTGTCATCCCAACACTTCCGAGTAGTGTCATGGCAAGCAGACCTGAAACAGTACCTAATTGATTAATAACACTGATTTTTAATCCATTTATTTATGTAAACGTATCATATATCGTACGATGTTTTTTTATTCATAAGAATACGTAGGTCTTGCCGACCTAGTAGTAAGGCCTTTTTTTTTTAAGTGGGGAAAATCATCGAATGACTGCTCCCGCCTGGGTGAGGCGGAAGGGAGTGTCAGACTCTTACTGACTAAAAACCACCCCGTTCCTTCTCCTGCACGTCGAGCCGGAGCCCCGGTTACCCGTTAGGTTCTCCGCGACTCCGAATCGGCAACAGCCCTATTGGGCCCCATCTGTGGTGGTCTGATGGCTCTTTGAGGCGCGCGCGGAACGCGACGCGCCGTACGCTCGGGTCTTTTCTGGTCGGACGGGGAGCCACCCATGCTCGCCGTTCGCAGTCCCGCGCTTACGGTGGCCGGAGATCGTCCCGCGATCACCGACGCCCGGTGTGTCCTTCGCGATGGCTGGGTTGCGAGGAGGCAGCGCTTCGCTGCCTCACGCGTCCCGCCTCCTAGTAGTAGTAAGGCCTAAGTTTCACACTCATTTTGAACACATTACGGCATTGATCATGATTAATGGACAGATGGCCACTTCAACTTCAGTGTCTCCAGACTTTCAGATACCGCATCACACCTACATACACTACAGAAGAATCTAGGTCAAAATTGACTCTGTATAGGTATTTACTTATAAGTTGTATATATGTGGTTAATAGATATGATTTACAAGTCGGTATTTGTTTTTGCTTGAATGAATAAGTGTTTTAGTTAGGTACCTACTTATGTACTAAGTAATAAAATACAATCTCGTACTGCTGTTATCTACTCTAAGAATTGGACTACAAAGTAGTTAGTACTTATGTAGGTAGGTACGTATTATTATAATATATGTTTTTACATCCCAGTTGTTTTGTGCTTAGTAAAAATATAATTATACATATAAAAACTACTTCTAAAGCTTTAGAATAGTGATTAATGTACAAGTTGACAGTTGAATTATCTAGGTTTTGTACCCCAATTGTATTTCAAATGACATTAACATTTAAGAGCTTAGAATTAAGTCATTAGTTAGTGTGGTTAGGACAGGTATTGTGATTTGATTAAGTAGCGTAGGTGGATTCCTACTTCCTAGGTAGATACCTACCTACCAAAAGTTAGTTTTTGTGAATATCCTCCCGGATATTGTTAGTTTTCCTGTTCTGTGTTACTACAGACTAAGTACTTGGAAGATAGGTAGGCTTGATTATTTTTTGATTGTACACAAAGATATACATACCTACTAATTATGTATAGTGCTATCATAGGTACTGCAGTTGAAAATGTATTAGTTAAGTAAGCATTACCTTTAAATGTATATTAATGGGCAATACAAGCGTACAATGGACATTTAGTTTAGCAGTAAGTAAGTATCTACCTTAACTCGTCGAGTACCGGTTTTGCAGACACAATTATAGAACAATAGGTTGCGGTCACCGGTGACCGCTTGGTATTTGACAGTTTAAGTATCTAACAATGAAACTGACCTATCAATACGTAAAAATAATGGTTGAACTTACCAGCGACACCTATTGGTGAAATTACGATATTTTCGTTTTTCCTTTCGTTCATCATTTTGACTAGTAAATTATATCCAAAATTATTTACAGCTTTTGGTATCGAGTTATCTTTCATATTTGTTGTTCTTAAGTTATCATTTTCAACATTTGTGGTTGGTATTATAGTGCTACAAAATTTAAAACATTTTGTTATAGAGACTTCTCATTTGGTCCATAGCACACAATATTATTTTTTTCAGTCGGAGCAATCGTGAGACGCCCGTTTAGGCGTGTACAGTGTACACACACAGTACACGCACCTCTAACAAGCAAATGCAAGCGAAACAATCAGCGTAGTTAAGGCGCCGAAAACGCGTTCTTAATACGTGCGTTTTCTGCGCGTATAAAATTCGCCTTAGATAGCTACTTACCTTAGGTACTCGTGTCAAAAATGGTTTCTATTGCTAGGTATGTACTCAATTAACAACTTTCTAGATAACCAG